CTATTTGGTCAGGCTGGTCTTGAACTCCTGACCTCAGGTGATCCACCCACCTCAGCCTCCCAAAGTGCTGGGATTACAGGCATAAGCCACAGTGCCCAGTCTGACAAAGCCCAGTTTTTCTAATGTTGCTTGTGTTTTTGATGTCATATCTAAGAAATAGTTGCCTAATTCAAGGTCATACAGATTTACTTCTGTCTTCTATGAGTTTTCTAAGGCCGGGCGCAGTAGCTCAAGGCCAAGCGTGGTGGCTCACACCTGTAATCCCAGCACTTTGGGAGGCCAAGACAGGTGGATTATGAGGTCAGGAGTTCAAGACCAGCCTGGCCAAGATGGTGAAACCCTGTCTCTACTAAAAATATAAAAAATGTAGCCAGGCACAGTTGCAGGCACCTGTAATCCCAGCTACTCGGGGAGGCTGAGGCAGGAAAATTGCTTGAACCTGGGCAGCAGAGGTTGCAGTGAGCTGAGATCTGCACTCCAGCCTGGGTGACAGACAGACTCGGTCTCAAAAAAAAAAAAAATGAAATGAGTTTTCTAGTTTTAGCTCTTACATTTAGATCTTTGGTACATTTTAATTTTTATATGTTGTGTGAGGTAAGGGTCCAACTTCATTCTTTCGCAGGTGTATATCCAGTTGTCCCAGGATTACTGGTTGAAAAGACTTTTTTTCCCCGTTATTTTGGTACCCTTGTCAAAAATCATTTGACCATAAATGTGAGGGTGTGTTTGTGGATTCTCAGTCTGTTGATTTGTGTAATCTGCCCTTGCTATTCTGTTGATCTATATGTCTATTCTTGTGCCAGTAGCGCACTGTCTTTATTCCTATAGCTTTGTAGTAAGTTTTGAAATCAGGAAGTGTGAGTCCTCCAATTTTGTTTTCTTTTTCAAGATTGTTTTGGATACACAGCAGACTCTTTTTTTTTTTTTTTTTTTTTTTTTTGGTAGCAACAGGGTCTTGTCTCAAGTGATCCTTCCACCTCAGCCTCCCAAAATTTGGGGATTACAGGTGTGAGCCACTGAGCCCAGCCTCTCAACAGATTCTTAAAATACACTTGTTGATTGGCTGCTTGTTTTCTTGTTTCCTTGATGGACTGGCCAGACTGTGAGAGCCTAGCTGGCCTGCACGCTTAAGTGACAAATTCCTCTCCCTACTGCAGCCTCCCTTCATAAGGCATTTGGCCAGTAGAGATCTAGGCAGTTCTGGCTGAGCTGCCTTAGTCCAGGGCAAGGTAGTAAAAGAGAATTTGGCAGGTTGCAGCTGGCTCCCCAAGCAGGAGATCTAAATCCAACTCATCCTTCCCCCACCCTCCCCAAAACATCTCAGCATTCCTTCCTCTTCTGTCCTTGCCTTGCAGGCTTGGAGCCTGGGTAGTTAGAGCTCTATCTAGACTCACTTCTGGCCACATCACACCAGCTCTTCCCATGTGCCTGTCATCCCACCACTCTCCTGCCCCTTCCTAACCATGATTCATGGCAAAATCCTGCAGGATAGAAGCTATCTGTCCTGTCAGGTGGGGCTAGTGCAGCAGCCTGGCCTTCCTTGGTGGCATCTTTGGTCACCCCCATAGGTTCTTTATGGACTCAACAGGAATGTCACGTGAGCTGCAGGTACTGATTTTGCTGATGGATGATGAAATTTTTTTCTTCCCTGTTGGGCTTTCAGTCCTTGCCTTAAGGAGACCATAAAAGAAGTGGTGGGAGGCCAGGTGCAGTGGCTCACGCGTGTAATCCCAGCACTTTGGGAGGCCGAGGGGGGCAGATCACTTGAGGTCAGGAATTCGAGACCAGCCTGACCAACATGGAGAAACCCCGTCTCTAGTAAAAATATAAAATTAGCTGGCCGTGGTGGCAGGCACCTGTAATCCCAGCTACTCATGAGGTTGAGGCAGGAGAATCGCTTGAACTCGGGAGGCAGAGGTTGCAGTGAGCTGAGATCATGCCACTGCACTGTAGCCTGGGTAGTAGAGCAAGACTCAGTCTCAAAAAAAAAAGAGTGATAAACCCACTGGGTGCAGTAACTCATGCGTGTAATCTCAGCACTTTGGTAGGCTGAGGTGGTTAGATCACTTGATCTCCAGGAGTTCAAGACCAGCCTGGACAACGTGGTAAAACCCTGTCTCTACAAAAAAAAAAAAAACACAAAAATTAGCCTGGTATAGTGGCACATGCTTATAGTCACAGATACTCGGGAGGCTGAGGTGGGAGGATCACCTGAGCCCAGGAAGGTCAAGGCTGCAATAAGCTGTGATTGTGCCACTGTACTCCACCCTGGGTGACAGAGTGAGACCCTGTCTCAAAAAAAAAAAAAAATGATAAAACCAAGTCTGACTTCTTCATCTCCATTGCCTTCCTGCAGGGTAGGAGGCAGTCTGTGCACTGGAGATACTTAGCCCAGCACCACAGCTACCTGCAAACTTGGACCAGTTATCTAACCTTCATGAACGCAGTCTCCTTGTTGGCTAAATAGGGATACTTCCCTTATAGGATGGCAGAATGGCAGGAGCAATTAAGAATTCAGTAGGAGCAAAATGTTCATTATCATTGGTAACACTAGTTACCATTTACTGAATGTTTTCTTTGTGCCATTCTCTATGTTAGTGTTCAGATTAGGTCAGATGGAATAAAGGAGGAGATCTCATGATCTCCAGCCATAAACAAGTATGTGCTGAGCATCTGCTCTGTATTGAATCCTATGCTGGTCCTCATGTGTGTTTTTGTTTGGGGGGTTTGAAAAAGGCCACCTGTGTGGGGTGCAGGGGAGCATCAGGAAGAGCAGCTAATGGATGCTGGGCTTAATAACTAGGTGATGGGTTGATCTGTGCAGCAAACCACCATGGTACATGTTTATCTATGTAACAAACCTGCACGTCCTACACATGTATCCCAGAACTCTAAAAGTTGAAGGGGCCAGGTGCGGTGGCTCACACCTGTAATCCGAGCACTTTGGAAGGCTGAGGTGGGTAGATCACTTGAGGTCAGGAGTTTAGACCAGCCGGGCCAACATGGTGAAATCCTGTCTCTACAAAAAATACAAAAATTAGCTGGGCAAAAACAGAAAAAATTAGCTGGGTGTGGTGGCACGCACCTGTAGTCCCAGCTGCTTGGGGGCTGAGGCAGGTTCAAGAATTGCTTGAACCCGGGAGGTGGAGGTTACAGTGAGCCAATATCACGCCACTCTACTCCAGTCTGGGCGACAGACTCTGTCTCAATCAATCAATAAAAGTTGAAGGGAAAAAAGAAAGAAAAAGGCCATTTAATTATCCCCTCTCTATACAGATTCTCAGGCAATTGAGAACTGCACAAAGGAGTTAGGTAGAGGTAAAAATAGAGATTGTATTATAGGTAGAGGTCCAGCCAACACATGGCTCAGACCCACAGCCAAAGTGCACCTTCGCCCCCTCTCCTTTTCTGTTTCCTGGTGTAAATCTGGGTTCCAGGCTGCAGAGCAAGCAGCATGGGGAACGGGGACACTAAAGGGCAAGTGTCCTGGGGGACTTATCTGGAGCTGTCAAGATGGTAAGATCAGTCCTTTTGTCTGCTTACATGCAACTAGGTGCTGCTGTGTGACCTCTGGATAGTCCTGCCCCTACTGCAGGAGGGCCCCAGGTGTACACCCTGCTGACCCCACCATCAAAACCTCTGGAATGTTGATGCTAGTTCTCCAAATCTGTGCTTTCCATGTACCATGAAACTTGTTGCCAACTATAATTTCTTGATGTGTGCAAGTGGGTTATGTAATACCCAACCCATAGGATGCAAGAAGGACTGGGGAGAAAGCACTTGATCAGGGCCTGGCACTCACTAGGCCCTCAGTGGGGCCATCCCGGTAAGCCTGGTTCAACACCCAGGGGAACTAAGCCTGCTGTTGCAGATTATCAACCGTCTGTCTGTGTGCCGAGAAGTCTCTTCAGGGGCCAAATGGTCAGAGTAAGTCTGTGTGCTGAAGTTGGAGATGTGGATTTGGGACTGATCAGGGCTCCACAGAAATGCATCATTGAAAGACAGGCGTTGGTGCAGGATGGGCCTACAGAGGTCCATTGTCTGTGCAGTGGGCTTTCAGTCCCATGTTTCAGACATCCTCCAGGTTTGGGATGGGAGGGGCAGAGTTGTTAGGGGAAGGGACAACACCCCTGAACCTCCCTCCAAACCCATATTTAGGATTGTCTAAGGCCAAATGGTGAAATAAGGCCATTGGTTTCCCCAGGGCCCCTTGCTTCCTCTTTCTGCACCCTTCTGCTCTTTCAGTGCCCTTCCTCCAAGCACCCGGGAAAACAAGGGTCCAAAAACAAAAAAACTCCAAGACAAAGGGCAGCAAAATAGGAGCCAAATGCAGCCCACCACCTACTTTTTACAGCCCGTGAGCTATCAGTGGTTTTTACATTTTTAATTGGTTGAAAAAAATAATATTTTGTGACACATGAAATTCAAATTTCAGTGTCCATAAAGTTTTATTGGAACACAGCCACAACCATTTGTTTACAAATTGTCTATGGCTGCTTTCAGCTGAGTTGAGGAGGTATAGGCCTGCAAAGTCTAAAATATTGACTCTCTGGCCCTTTAAGGAAAAGCTTGACAATGCCCTATTCTAGGATGTGTCTTGCACCCAGGAGATCTGCTTTCCAAGGAAAGGGCAAACCAGTCAAATCCAGGCAGATGTGCAGAGGAGACACCGGACGGGGAAGCCTTCCTGATCCTTCCGGTGACACTGGAGGAGCTGAGGGGAGATAACTCTCTAATCCTACAGATGGGACTGCTTCTGTCCACACTGAGTTAGGGGGCATGGAAACAGTGGGTTCAGGCCTATGACTTATTCTAACAGTACAGATAGCAGGATTCAGAAGGTGATTAATAGTCTCCAGTGAGCCCACCATACCAGCTTCCCTGCCAGGCTGGTGGCAGCGATTTTACCTGAGGCCTTTCATGTTCCCAGGGTCCTGCAGGCTGCCCTGGGCCGGCCCTGAGCAGTATATTCATTGCTTACCTTTCTCCTGTCTCTGCAGAGTTTGCCTTCTGCCAGGTGGATGCCTCCATCGCTCTGGCCCTGGCCCTGGCCGTCCTGTGTGATCTGCTCCAGCAGTGGAACCAGCTGGCCCCTGGACTGCCCATCCTGCTGGGATGGCTGTTGGGAGACGGTGATGACCTCGTGGTCTGTGTGGAGAGCATGCATCAGGTGATCCCGGGGTGTCAGGGGAGTGGGAAGCAGGGTTGGAGTGTCCTAAACCCACTGGATGCAGCACCTACAGCCTCAGCTGGGCTTGTTCGTGCTGACACACAGAGCAGTAACCACTAGGAAAGCCACCCACCGGGTGCTGCCGAGGGCACAGGGACACTCTCAGGCTGACTTCTGGGCTGCTGATGCTCAGCCTCCAGATTAGCCAGGGGAGAGAACTCACAAAGAAGCCCCTGCATGCGGAGAGTTTAATTATGGAGACTGCTTGTTAGTCGGTATTGGAGTTAGCCTGGAGCTTCCCAAAGTTAGGTCTGAGGGTGAAGCATTTTCAGAGAATTAGGATCTTTGCTGGAAACTTCCTGCTTGAAAAAAACTATTACTAGCCCCCTCCAGAGTGGGTGCAGTCACAGATAGGGAAACTGAGGACAAAGACAAGCAGCAAAAGCCTCCTGAGAACTGAAATTGATCGCCACCAGTATCTGACTTAGCTGACCTTCTAAGAATGGCATCCCCAGCAGGCCAAGGGTTCAAAAAGCATTGTCCCTGTTTATGAGAAATTTGGAGACATGGTAAGTGTCTGATAAAATGACCTTGAGAATCATGGTGTTATAGAAACAGGACGCAGCCTAGTGTCCTCTGTTTGGAGATTCCTTCTCTGGCCTGCTGCAGAGATGACCTTTCCTCCCTCCTCTCCAATTTCCAGCTGCACCTTAAGCTCCCTTGTTGAAGTCCCCTTTTCAGCATCCATCCCCTAGAGTATCTTGACTTTGCACCACAAACACATCTTTATCAAGGTCATGTTAAGTCTGGGGAAAAAATTCCTCTCTGCTGGAGAAATACAGTGAGTAAAAATAGAAGGTGACCTTCAAGGCTGCAAGTGGTGTGTGTCCATGGGTGTTGACAGGCGAGAGTGCGCCCTCTGTCCGGTGGGGGAGGGGACATGACACCCTTCTTGTACCTGGCAGGGTACTGCTTGATCTGGACTGGGGCTTGTCACCATTCCCTGTAAGACTGACTTTTGGCTTTTTCATCTGATTTAGGTGGAAGAAGACTACCTGTTTGAAAAAGCAGAAGTCAACTTTTGGGCCGAGACCCTGATCTTTGTGAAATACCTCTGCAAGCACCTCTTCTGTCTCCTCTCCAAGTCTGGCTGGCGTCTTCCAAGCCCTGAGATGCTCTGTCACCTTCAAAGGATGGTGTCAGAGCAGTGCCGCCTCCTGTCTCAGCTCTTCAGAGAGCTTCCACCAGCTGCAGAATTTGTGAAGACGGTGGAGTTCACAAGACTACGCATTCAAGAGGAAAGGACTTTGGCTTGCTTGAAGCTGCTGGCCTTTTTGGAAGGAAAGGAAGGGGAAGACACCCTAGTTCTCAGTGTTTGGGACTCTTCTGCAGAAGCGAGGTAGTTAACTCTTCCAAGAACAGAGCAGCATGTTGAAGAAAATTTGGGGGATTGGGATGGGGGTATGTGTGGATTTTTCCTCACAAATCTGCAGGAAACATGTTGAACATAAATTCAAAAATGTTATCCCATTCATGCCTCCCCTAGTTCTGTGAGTCTGGTCGTCTGTCACTCCTCACAGAGAAACTGTTCTTCAGTTCACTCATTCAGGGCAGCCTACTTTATTGCTGCTACTGTAGGAAGTGAGGCGACTCTGCTGCAGATTTCCTCTGTCCCCAGGTGCAGGCCACCTGCAGGCCTGAATGAGCCTTTTTCATCCCCCAGGGCCTCTAATGCCCTGCCATAGCCTCCCTACATTCTCTGTGAAGGAACTACACAGAGTTGGATTTTAGCACACACACATGACCCCTCCCCCTCCCCTGTTCTGGCTTTATGTAGGGGCTGGATGAGTTGGCAAACAGCCCATTTGGTCTGATTCATAAATTTTGTTCCATTTTAGCAAAGCAGAAATATGTTCCAAATGTTGGATCCTAGGAGAATTCAGGATCAACCTTGCACAAATAATTTATTTTTATTGTCTGCATGTGTAAGTCCTGCAGTGACCTACACATTCCATCTTAATTATTCAAAGAGCCATTGAGCATTCCCCCACCCCCAAAAAAGTATGCTTATGCTAGGAAACCTGATTTTGCCACCCAGTGAAAGTATATCCATGCTCTTAGCTGTGAGGAGGAACCTGGGGAAAGGAGAGGCAGAGAAAATGACTTATTCTATGCCTACATTGTTTACCTATCACTTGCTTGGTGGCAGTAACAAGATTCTCACTTAAGATGCCATTAAACACATTTATCAGCCGGGCACGGTGGCTCACGCCTGTAATCCCAGCGCTTTGTGAGGCTGAGGCAGGCAGATCATGAGGTCTGGAGTTCAAGACCAGCCTGACCAACATAGTGAAACCCCATCTCTACCAAAAATACAAAAATTAGCCAGGAGTGGTGGTGCGCACCTGTAATCCCAGCCACTCAGAAGGCTGAGGCAGGAGAAACGCTTGAACCCAGGAGGTGGAGGTTGCAGTGAGCCGAGATCACACCACTGCATTCCAACCTGCACGACAGAGCGAGACTCCGTCACACACGCACACACATACTGCACTCCAGCCTGGGCGACAGAGTGAGACTCCGTCACACACACACACACTCCAGCCTGCGTGACAGAGCGAGACTCTGACACACACACCCCCTTTGCAGTGATTTTAATCTAGAAACCTTAATGATTTTCTGCCTTTTCAAGCCCAGCCCAGCCCTCTTCCTCACACACCCGGCAGGTGGCGCTCTTGCATACGTTTTGTTTCTGGTCCAGTTTTTCATTGGCTCACCATTTTTTATTTATAATTTCAGAGTAAGTGTTACCCACTAACAGTTATCTTGAGAATCATAGCTTTGGATGGGTCGTAGCCTCATCCGCATCCATTTTTCATCCTACTGATCTGAAAAAACATTTCAATCATAGTATATAAAGTTGCTCCAGATTTTAGGGTCTGTAAAAAAAAAAAAAAAAAAAACCTAAATACTCAGGTGAATGATCACTTAGAGTAATTTATTGATGTTTCAGAGTCTGAAGGGGCAGGTTAGAAGAGAGTGAGTTTACAATCATTTTCTACTGCAGAAAAGCTCATATTTCAAATGTAGTTCATCTCTCTTTGAGAGATACATTTAACACTAAAAATGCAGCTGTAAGCCAGGCATGGTGGTGCACACTTGTAATCCCAGCTACTCAGGAGGCTGAGGTGGGAGGATCGCCCAGGAGTTCATGCCTGTGAAAGACCACTGCACTCCAGCCTGAGTAACACAGCAAGACCCCATCACTAAAAGAAAGGAATTTAAGAACAAAAAAGCAGCCATACTGGAAGTATAGGAAAGGGGCTTTGTAAGAGGCAGGAAAGAAGTTAACTCAGTGTCCAAAGTTTTGTCCTAAAGAGAACAGGAAATTCCCTGGGTGGTTTTGCAACCACTCGGCCCCAAATGTGGTTTCTGTGATCCTGAATTAATTACCTAGTTAGGCAGCTGTGTAGCCCACACCTGAGGGAAAGTTGCCAACCTAACACTTTTTGTTCTAAGACCTAGCTGGTGAGACGTGAGGGACTTGGTAACATAAATGTGGTGATAACCACAGAAGAAGAATTATGAAACTGGCCCAACAAAGCCCAGCTCAATGGAAATGGCCAGCACTTCTTTTTTCCTCCATTTAAAATGAAATAAAAGCAGCTACATTATACATTTTATACTAGCAGGTACTCTGTACACAGCATGTCCCATAATATGTCCACATGTTATCTCCAGAATCCTAATCTGCAAAGTGGGTGTTCTCACAGCTCTTGACTGGGACTCACCCCAGATTTGGACGTTGATTCAAACAGATGTTTCCATTGGTTCTGTATCTGAAATCTTGTTACTAACCTAATAAAAGTGCCTAGGGAAGTGGCTGTTTCACACTGTTTGGTGAGATGTTTGGGGTCATCTCACCAAAGAACAAACCAGACCACAGTTGCCCAGGTATATCAAGGGATCAGTGTAGGGTAGGTGCTAAAAGTGAAACTGGTCCCTCTGAGGTCACCTACTCTTGGCTCTGAGTCCTAGGGTCCAGGACTTGGGTACCCCCACAGCTCTGCACTCATGAGTCTGTGGCTCTCTGTCCATCTGGCCATAGTTCAGAAGCCTGGCTTTCTCCACCCTTATGCTTTGTCAATTTGGTTTAATACATAAAGATGGTTTAGTTCTTGTTTGTCTTTTAAACACCTTCACAGATACCATTTGCACCTTGACAAAGGTGAGAGATGAATAAAGCAGGAATATTACCTTCGTTTTACAAGGAAACCCAAGTACCAAAGAGATGATGTGATTTGCCTAAGACCACATGATTTCTATGGGGCAGGGCCTGAACTCCAGCCCAGCATTCCTGATCCTTACCCTGGACTCTGGCTCCCTGGGCTGTGAGGGGAGTACAGTAGTGGGAAATGCAGGCTACACTCCAGGAACTCGAATCCCTGAGTGGCAGGCCTAGTTCTTTCCCCAGCGGGTCCTGGACCTTCCAGCTTCAGGTCCAAGCTTTTTGGCAACCTGTATGAGCGCGGAGCGAGAAGTGCCCTAGACCAGACTCCAGATCGTTCCTAGTGGGGCTGTCAGCGGCTTTAGCCTCACTGGGCGCTAGGTGGGGGTGTCTGCTCCGTACCCGGACGAAGGCGGGGCGCCCGCTGGCAAAGCGCATTTTCCAGCGCAAGCTGTTGGGGTGTGGGGCTGGCGGGAGAGGGAAAACAGAGGGGGGCGCGCCCACCAACAGCGTCTGTGCAGCCCCACCTGGGCCGCGGGTTGGTCTCAGCCGGATCCTGCCGCCCTCATCGAGCTAAGGCTGGGCGCGGCGCCCCTACGGCCGGGGAGAGAAGAGCCGAGAGGACGCAACAGGCCCAGGCTGTGCCGGGCGGGGAGCCTCGGCGGGCAGCTGCGCCCCCAGCCCGAGGGCTGGGGGAGGCCGGGCCGACCAGCAGACGGAAAGGGTGGCGCTAAGTCGCCTTCAAGCCCGCACGGCTCTCCCGGCCTTTCCTCCTGTCCTCAGAGTCAGCTCCCCCGCCCGGGACGTCCCGCGCCACTCCGCGCCTTTGGCCCTGGCTCAAGGTCTTGTGATGTGATTAGCAAAGCCAGCGCCTTGTCCTCAGACACTCAGCCCTGCCCGGCAGGCCCCGGCGCTCAAGCCCTGTTTACTGAGCCTGGGCGGGGAGGGGGCGGAGAAACGAGCCCGGGCTCCACCGGCAAGACTGCCGCGGCGGCCGCCCGCGTGGCCACCACCACCCCCACCCCCACCGCGACTCCACGTGCAGTCGGGCTGGAGCTGCCACCGACAGGACGCAGTCCCCGAGCCCCCGCCTCCTGGCCGAAGCACCCTTTGCAAACCCGCCGGGCCGCGCGGATGGTTGCGATATTCTGGCATTTTGCAATTCCCGCGCCCAGCACAAAACCAAAGGTGGGAACTAAAAGCTCCACAGGTCCGCCTCGGCGAACAGGGCAGGGAAAGACACGTCCAGGACTGCAGAATCCCGGCCACGCTAAATGTACCGGGGCTCTCCGACCGCGCAGTGCCAGAAAAGGAAAGCCGTGCCTTCCCGCCGCCACCCGGCGGCACCCACCGGGGCCGAAAGCTACACGCCGCACCGGGCGCCCGGGTCGCTGGCCCCGCCCCGAGGCCTCCCGCCCCCTTCCCCAGAGAAAAAAAATTGGCGGCGGCCAATGGGAGGCCGAGAAGGCGCCTGACGTTCGCGAGCTGGCGGGCGGCGTTGCCTGGAGACTCCGGCGGGGGCCCAGTTCTGTCCCCTCCCCCGGCGCGCCCGCCCCGCCGCAGCCGCACTCCCGGGCTCTATATAGGGCGCGCGCTCGCGGGCTGCAGAGTTCCAGCAGTCCGCGAGCTGCCGTCGGCTCCGCGGGGGGGGCGGGCCGGGCACCCCGGGGCGCGGAGGAGCGCTCCTCGCTTCTCTCCTTCCCCCCTGCCGCACTCCGCCGGACCCTCCCGCCGGCCCGCGCCGCTGCCCTCGCCCTCTCCTCTCGCCCCCCGGCAAACTTTCGGCCCCTCCCCGCCCCTCGCCCGTTATTCGTCGTGGCTCAAGCCCGGCCACGCCACCCCGAGGGCTCCTCCCGACCTCCCGGCCTGTCGCTCCGGCCACTGCGGGATCCAGAAACATGTCGACCACACTTTTGTCCGCGTTCTACGATGTCGACTTCTTGTGCAAGGTACGCCGGGGAGCGGGCCGGGCCGGCAGCAGCCGTTCCAGTTCTTGGACTTTGCCTCTGTCCCCTGGCCCTGGGGGACGCCCCTCCCGCCCTGCCTTTCGGGTCGGGAAAATCCCGGGGTTTGCAAAAGTGTGTGCGAGCGCCCTGGAGGAGGAGGGGGCGGCAGGGAGGGCGCTGGTGTCGCGGTTGAGTTTCTCCGCTGCCGACCGCGGCCACGCTGCCCGGGGCTTCCCGGACGGGATTCGCGCCGCCCACCTCGGCGGCCGGGGCGGAGGATCACGTGTCGAAACCCAGCGCGGCCCGCGGTGGGCGTCCTCCCCTCTCCCGCTCCCTCCAGCAAGATCTTGCTGCTTTTGCGTGTGTATGGGTGGAGGGTGGAGGCCGAGTCGGGATCCGCCAAGAGTGGGGGAAAAAGAGGAAAAGAATCAGGCTGGGAGTTTCTCTGTGGCTCGACCCGAGTCTGCCTTCCCCTTCCGTTTTTCATCCCTTCCACGCTCCCCTTCCTTTGGCAGACGGAGAAATCCCTGGCCAACCTCAACTTGAACAACATGCTGGACAAGAAGGCGGTGGGGACGCCCGTGGCCGCCGCCCCCAGCTCCGGCTTCGCGCCAGGCTTCCTCCGACGGCACTCGGCCAGCAACCTGCACGCACTCGCCCACCCCGCGCCCAGCCCCGGCAGCTGCTCGCCCAAGTTCCCGGGCGCCGCTAACGGCAGCAGCTGTGGCAGCGCGGCGGCCGGCGGCCCGACCTCCTACGGCACCCTTAAGGAGCCGTCGGGGGGCGGCGGCACAGCCCTGCTCAACAAGGAGAACAAATTCCGGGACCGCTCGTTCAGCGAGAACGGCGACCGCAGCCAGCACCTCCTGCACCTGCAGCAGCAGCAGAAGGGGGGCGGCGGCTCACAGATCAACTCCACGCGCTACAAGACCGAGCTGTGCCGGCCCTTCGAGGAGAGCGGCACGTGCAAGTACGGCGAGAAGTGCCAGTTCGCGCATGGCTTCCACGAGCTGCGCAGCCTGACTCGCCACCCGAAGTACAAGACCGAGCTGTGCCGCACCTTCCACACCATCGGCTTCTGTCCCTACGGGCCGCGCTGCCACTTCATCCACAACGCGGACGAGCGGCGGCCCGCGCCGTCGGGGGGCGCCTCCGGGGACCTGCGTGCCTTTGGCACGCGCGACGCGCTGCACCTGGGCTTCCCGCGGGAGCCGCGGCCCAAGCTGCACCACAGCCTCAGCTTCTCGGGCTTCCCGTCGGGCCACCATCAGCCCCCGGGCGGCCTCGAGTCGCCGCTGCTGCTCGACAGCCCCACGTCGCGCACGCCGCCGCCGCCCTCCTGCTCCTCGGCCTCGTCCTGCTCCTCCTCCGCCTCCTCCTGTTCCTCGGCCTCCGCGGCCTCCACGCCCTCGGCCCCGGCATGCTGCGCCTCTGCGGCGGCCGCGGCTGCGGCCGCTCTGCTCTACGGCAGCGGGGGAGCCGAGGACCTGCTGGCACCTGGGGCCCCGTGCGCGGCCTGCTCGTCAGCCTCGTGCGCCAACAACGCTTTCGCCTTCGGCCCGGAGCTCAGCAGCCTCATCACGCCGCTCGCCATCCAGACCCACAACTTTGCCGCCGTGGCCGCCGCCGCCTACTACCGCAGTCAGCAGCAGCAGCAGCAGGGCCTGGCGCCCCCTGCGCAGCCCCCGGCACCGCCCAGCGCACCCCTCCCCGCCGGGGCCGCCGCGCCTCCCTCGCCGCCCTTCAGCTTCCAGCTGCCGCGCCGCCTGTCCGACTCGCCCGTGTTCGACGCGCCCCCCAGCCCCCCGGACTCGCTGTCGGACCGCGACAGTTACCTGAGCGGCTCCTTGAGCTCTGGAAGCCTCAGCGGCTCCGAGTCCCCCAGCCTCGACCCCGGCCGCCGCCTGCCAATCTTCAGCCGCCTCTCCATCTCCGACGACTGAGGCAAGAGGGCGCCAGTGAGGAGGAAGGGAAGGCGGTTCAGAGATGTTGGAGGACACCCCTCGCCATCTCGCCCCTGCTGGGGGCCCGGGAGTCGGGGGGTGACATGGGCCCCAGGCAGACTGCAAGCCCGACCGAGCCCTTGGACTCGAACTCTGTGCCTGGAGGGGCCCCCACCTCTCCTTTTCGGTTTCCTCTTTTTTTTTTTTTTTATTATTATTACGAAGTTTCATTCTTTTTGAGCAAAAAAGTCGAGGAACTTTTTCTATTGAACAAAATATTCACAACAGGGCAGTTGTGATACCAATAGAACAAAAAACAAACACTTAAACTTTTTTAGGACTCCAGTGAGTTTGGGACTTCAGGAAAAATCAACCCAGCACCAGCAGCTATCAACCACCATTCCATCTCTTCACTTGAACAGCATTAGTTAAGTCCAGATGTGGGAACCCTTAAGAAGTTCCTAATTGTTTGTCTCAGATCGGTGTTATACCAGCCAGCCACCACCTTGCTAAACCTATAAGCTTTTTAGAATCCAATATTCTGCCAAGAATATGCCTTGATAGTTAGCCCTCAGCCCATAGGTGTTTTTTGTTTTTTAACAATTATATATGTCTGGGGGTGAAAAACAAACCCTTGCATTCCAAAGGTCCATACTGGTTACTGGTTTCATCGCCACCACTTAGTGGATGTTTAGTTTAGAACCATTTTGTCTGCTCCCTCTGGAAGCCTTGGGCAGAGCTTACTTTGTAATTGTTGGAGAATAACTGCTGAATTTTTAGCTGTTTTGAGTTGATTCGCACCACTGCACCACAACTCAATATGAAAAAAACTATTTAACTTATTTATTATCTTGTGAAAAGTATACAATGAAAATTTTGTTCATACTGTATTTATCAAGTATGATGAAAAGCAATAGATATATATTCTTTTATTATGTTAAATTATGATTGCCATTATTAATCGGCAAAATGTGGAGTGTATGTTCTTTTCACAGTAATATATGCCTTTTGTAACTTCACTTGGTTATTTTATTGTAAATGAGTACAAAATTCTTAA